AGAAGAAGTACTGCTACACTTCACAATCAATTTTTTTTGGCTATTTTAATCATCAGTGTCTAACAAGGATTCTTAATTAATAATAAGTAAAGATATGTCTCTCTGTTTCGGAGTGTTCAAATAAAAAATTGACACATGATTTGGGGCTTTTATCATTTTCCTAACATATAATATTAACATATATATTGTTTTTTTTTTTTTTTTTCCCTGTAATTAAACATATAATTTCCCGTATTGCTCTGGGCTATACAAATCAAGTCCAACCTATAACTTGCCATCTGACATCTGTAAGATATAATGGGCTATGGGTAGATGGAGGATTCATGAGAATGGAGCAGGGTCTATATTGGATTAGATGCTAGAGTTCTACCTAGGTTTGGGCTGAGCACAACCAGACCCAATCACAGCCCATTGTAACCTTGACCCTTTAATAATAATGATCTCACTCTCATTTTCTGGAAGACTGTAACTGTCTTCTGCTTACATTCTTTGTTGGCCTCTCCTAACTGCATGCCACACCACAAAAGATGATATTTGTGCATTAGCACAAGTGCACAACTATGGCCGAACAAGTTATGATGTATAGGTTAGATTGCAGAATTTACAGTTTTGGCTAAGTATTTTACGTTCGTCATTTCACTCTGGGAAAAGATGAGCGGTTATCCATCCACAATAGGTCTTCTCCCCCATGGATTTGCCCAGAGTTCAAGTTCGAAATTAGTTGTTACCTTTAAGGATTCTAATTATTTCAGAGTATACATCCACAGGAAAACCAGTAACAGAAAGATTATCCCCATTTCTATGTTCGACTAGGACGTCTACCTAGAGCAACTTCGGTTGGCTGAGCTATTTCAAATACTTGAGGGAATTCAAGCTTTGCATATCCCCCAATTGCCATGAGAAAAGGCTTTGGATTAGCAGTCAAAAATGGTTATGAGAAAAGAAAGGGAAAGGAGAAAAAAGAAATCCTTAAATTTTTAGGAAATCTAGGGAAGATTAGCAGATTAAGAAAAAAAAATACCAAGTCCGCCTTTATGTTGACAATTGTTAGAATGTTATATATATATATATATACACACACACACATATTGGGCCATTATGTAATTACAGAAAGTTGATAGGGACCCTTGTGTAGTTAAATAAGTCTTGAACTCTTTAGGTTTAAGTATGATGAATATATACAAGACTGAATCTTTTCTCTCTCTCATATATATGACTTTGAACATGGTATCAGAGCAGAAGAGGTTTATATGGAGTAACCACCTGGGTTTGTTGCTCAAGGGGAGTATCTTCACACTGTTTGTCGCCTTAAAAAGGCCCTGTATGGATTGAAACAATCTCCACGGTAAGTATTATGTTCACCCTTGGAAACCACTAATGCAGAACGCTCACCACTCTGTCCAGTATTCAAATTTGAGGTATCACTTGCGAGTGTAGCACGCTGAAGTCTAGAAAACACTTCAGCAAGAGATGGAAGTGTTGGACTGCTCATAATCTGTGCACGAAAAGGCTCATATGCTGATGATAAACCAATAAGAAAACGGACAACATTAAAGTCCGCACGCTCTTGTTGCATACTGCGAACATCAGCTGTAATGGGCTGATACATATTTAGCTCTTCACAGACTCCCATAACTTTGGAATAATACTCTTCTATACTTTGAGTACTTTGTTCAAGATTGAAGTACTGCTTACAGAGCTCATAAACACAAGTGATATTACCTGTCCCAGAATACAATTGATGTAATCTGTCCCATATCTCCTTGACAGTATCCAAATAAAGTAGAGTTGAACTAATTTGGGGTTCAATACTGTTTATTATCATAGAGATGATCTGAGCATTTTCCTTTTCCCATGCATCAAAGGAGGCATCAGTTGTCTTGGGTTTCTCTTTAGTCAAATGAGAACCAAGACCTCTGCCTTTGAGGAATTTGAGGAAAATGGCAACAGATTTAGCCCACAATATTTAATTCTTCCCATTGAGTTTAACTAAAGTCATGGGAGAATTAAGACTGTTCATGGGTGAAAGTAAATCTGAACTGGATGCTATGTTGAATCCAGCAAAACAGAGAAGAAAAACGGGGAAAAAAAAATTATGTATTCTGGTCGAACCTGGGAACCGGGTCGGATCTGGTCAACGGACCTGGTCAAACGGGTTAGACTGACCTGGGCTATCCAGGTTTAGCAAACTAGGGTTGGAGTAGTTATAACCGTGTAGCCAAACAGAGGTCTTCTTCTTCACACCTGCACAGACGCCGGTGAATAACGCAGCGACGACGACGGCGATCCAATCACAAGTAACGGCCGAATCAATAAGCAGCGATCATTGCAACTTCCGACCAACAGAGATGAACCTCACCTCTGCGAATCAAGATTGCAGAGGTCGGCGAGCTCGCTGGCAACCAAAGAGAAGCTGCCGGCGATGACGAACACGGCAGAGACGACGACGAATAACTCCCAGATCTGACGATGATGAACAAGGCGCTGCTGATGACAACAAACAAGGAACCGACGGTAAAGATCACCAACACCACAACTGCGATTCAAATCTTATAGAAGGCCCTGTATGGATTGAAACAATCTCCACGGGCTTGATTTGGAAAATTCTCTGAGGTGGCATTAAAATTTAGTCTTAAGAGATGTCAGACCGACCATTCGGTGTTTCACCAGCGCACTAAAGTTGGCTTCATATTTCTTGTGGTGTATGTAGATGATATTGTGATCACAGGTGATGATTCTGAAGGCATTGCTAAGTTGAAGTTTTTTCTGCAATATCAATTCCACACTAAAGACTTGGGTAAACTTAGGTATTTCTTGGGCATTGAAGTTGCTAGATCCAAGAAGGGTATAAATTTATCCCAACGCAAATATGTGTTGGACTTATTAGAAGAAACAGGTATGTTGGGTGGTCATCCGGTTGATACTCCTATGGATTCAAATACAAAACTTGTATCTGATGAGGGTGATCTATTTAATGACCCGGGGAGGTTTCATCGCCTTGTTGGGAAATTAATTTATCGCACTATCACTCGACCTGATATTTCATATGCAGTCAGTGTTGTAAGTCAATTCATGGGAGTTCCTAGAATGCCACATTGGATTGCTGTTCTTCGGATTATACGATATCTCAAGAAAGCTCCAGGTTTAGGATTACTATATAAATCAAATGGTCATCTCAGGGTGGAAGGTTTTACAGATGCTGACTGGGCTGGTTCTCCTTCAGATAGGAGATCTACTACAGGCTATTGCACATTTGTAGGAGGAAATATTGTTACATGGCGAAGTAAAAAGCAGACGGTGGTAGCTCGATCTAGTGCTGAAGCTGAATATAGGGCAATGGCCCATAACACTAGTGAGTTGACATGGATACAACATTTTCTAAAAGAACTTGGGTTGATAGTTGAGGCTCCTACTCCATTGTTCTGTGATAATCAAGCAGCAGTTCACATTGCATCAAATCCTGTGTTTCATGAGAGGACCAAACATATTGAAGTTGATTGTCACTTCATTCGAGGAAAAATATTAAGTGGGAGCATCTCTACTCCATTTGTGAAGTCTGAAGATCAATTAGCTGATATGTTTACCAAAGCATTGGATCATAACCGGTTAAGAACTATCTGTTCCAAGCTGGGATTATTTGAGATATATTCTCCAGCTTGAGGGGAAGTGTTAGAATGTTATATATACATATATATATGTGTGTATTGGGCCATTATGTAATTACAGAAAGTTGATAGGGGCCCTTGTGTAGTTAAATAAGTCTTGTACTCTTTATACAAGCCTTGTACACTTCAGTAGGTTTAAGTATGATGACTATATACAAGACTGAATCTTTTCTCTCTCTCATATATATGACTTTGAACAACAATCATTGCTTGCTCTTCCTCCAAATGTTCATGCTTGCTAAATAATGCTCCAGACTCGGCCTACGTCTAATACTAGCCTTCCCTCTATCCCAGAAACACTTCTCAATGCTGCTACATGGTCTCATTGTTGCTTGATGTCATTAATATTTTCTAGAGTAACAGCCAGAAAGTTGACACCTTACTGACATTCCCCCACCACTACACACAGAAGCCCGCCAAAATCCTATGGAAAGTCAGCCAACCAGTTTTGAGGACAGTGAATTTCGTCGGGAACCATGATAGGTATGCCCTAGAAGACTTGGGTAAGAATATCTTTTGATCATGGGATTGTACCAAGAGAGCTAGTAGTTTTAAAGTAAAAATCTAAACAAGAATAACATTAACAATTAATGGTTAATTATGAGTTTTTTTTTTCTCCCTTTTGAAACTCACACACCCAGTTACTTATGAGTTTTGACAGTTACAATTGTTTAATTTCTTTTCTTTGGGGCTAGACAATTATAGTATAAACAGAAAACACACTCCAAACCTCAAAGGCAAAGGTGCAAGTAAAAGCCAGATATAGCGGATCAAATTATGCTAAAAAGCACAATTTACAGTAAAAGTAAAAGCATGTGGTTCTGTTAGCTTTATAAAAAATGTACAGAAAACCATATGTTGCCCATGTCAGTTTCTTCATTGTGACTGAAGCCAATTAAAATGGATCAAATTATGCTAAAAGGCAATCTGGTTTGATCTCCTTCACTTCCGCCTTCTGTATTATTTCAAAATCTACTTTGTTCTCACCTCTTCAAACAATATTCAAATTTTCTTTGCACTGATCTCTAGGTTTATTACACTCTAAGGACTCAAGTTCTGGTTTATGCTAAATTGCTAATTGATGGCTAAATAAAAAATAAAAATTATATAACCATCCTCAAGGGTTCTTCTATGAAAAAATAATTGAAAATTTGAACTCTTGTTTAGTATATCACAAAAAAAATGTCTTATCTATGAATACTAGAGAAAGGTGGGACACATTTATGCATTCCCATTGTATTATACCAGAATCACATTCCAGCAACGATCTTCTCATCTGAAGAAAAGTAAGTCAAAGAAATTCCAAACACGTGTGAGCCAACCATACAATATTAAAATGAAAAAAAAAAAAAAAAAAAAAATCATCAAACGCCCGGTTTCTCCAACCGCTACTATTGGGTTACTAAAACAGTCAGAAATGACAAAAATAAAAAGATGCTCTAGATAACTACATGGGAATACAAAAGAAGTTTCATACAGAATTCTTATACAAAAATGAAATGGGAATGCCATTTGAAACTAAATGAGTCTATGATAGTCCTTTTTGGGAGTCTGTACCGGAATTCTGTTTGTCTAGTATTACTCCTAACTTGTACAATTTTTAAACAATATGATCCTGCACTAGCAGGACCATCAAGCCTCTATCCCATCCATATGACTATTCAAGTAAGTGCGTAATATTATTCAATTCCCTTATTAAAGAATCTAACATGCCCTAATACACCTTTTCAAAGTTTAAACATGAGCCTTTGCTTTCAAAAGTCGCATCTCTATTCTTCAAACAAAAGCAAAAGCAGGCACCTCTTTAATCTCCCACCTTCCTCAAGTAATTATCGGATATCATATCCTCGAATATGCTCTGGATTGGTCCTCATAATTTCAATAATCACTTTTCCAAAAAAAGACCAAGAAGACTGAAAAGCAAGTCAAGAAACTAAAACTAACAACAATAGTATATGCCAATCAAGTTGAAGTGTTGAACACCACAATATATTATACACTACTAAGGCAATTATTTATTTACGTAAAATGTTTGTTCATTGTTTCATGTTTCACACAACGTAAGCATGAAAATTTAAATACAACCACAATAACATTAATTTGGGAGCACACATGATCATAGTTATTCGCGGGCCAGAAGAAAAGCTAACCTCTTAGAATGACATCTTCCAAAGAACAAAGATGACTCAGTGAGATAATATCTTGAAACTAAACCATGCCCTCCAACTACCGCCACCCTTTCGAGCAATCATATCCGACCTTGCTTCTGTCATCTGTGGATGGCTCTGCTTCTTGCACATCACAAAGTTCCTTGCCCCAGACGACCCTATCAGTTCAGCCGGCTTCAGAGCTGCAACAAATCCCCAATTTTATTATTATTATTATTTTTAAATCCATCAAAATTGCAAACTTACAAATGGGTATATGTCAATAAATAAAAAGGCTCGGAATTAAATCATAGGCTGTGATAATGTTGATATAACTCGAATTTCAGAGAAAGGGTAACTATAAAAACATTAAAAAGAAAAAAGAAAATAAAAAAATCTCATGGAAATATCATAACAAAATCAAAATGCACAAAGGGGTAGAATCTATTTCTGGGAAAAAAAACATCACATAATAAATAAATAAAATTAATCAAAATCGTGAATTTACAAATGGTTTGTGATGAATATTGATAAAATTAAAAAAGGGTAACCATAAAAAAATTATTAAAAAAAAAACTCAAAAAGAAATTCATAACAAATTCAAGATGCACAAATGGGTATGTTTCAATACCAATATACATATGGTCTGTGATGAATATTGATAAAATTAGAAAAAGGGTAACAATAAAAAAATAAAATAAAATAAAAAAATAGAAAAAGGGTAACCATAAAAAAAAAAAAAAAAAAAAAAAAATCTCACGGAAATTCATAACAAAATCAAAATGCACAAATGGGTATGTTTCAATACCAATTTACATATGGTCTGTGATGAATATTGATAAAATTAGAAAAAGGGAAACCATAAAAAAAATTATAAAAAAAAAAAACTCAAAAATCTCACGGAAATTCAAAACAAAATCAAAATGCACAAATGGTATGAATATTGATAAAATTAGAAAAAGGGTAACCATAAAAATAAAAAAACAATTTATCAAAATGCATAAATGGGTAAGTTTCAATACCATCGATTCCAGCATTGGCAGGATAAAGGAGGAAATTGTTGACGTCGGAGCCAAGCACCGGAAGGCGACCTTCGCGAGCATACAATTTCAAAGCTGTATCAATAACCCCTGAAACATTGTCTCCCTCATTCACCACGAACCTTATTGGTCCTGCGCTTCCCAGAACATTCACAGTAATCAAGAATCGATTCTTCTTCACATTCTGGTTCTCATTACTCTTCTTCTTTAGCTTCTGTGACAACATCTTCTCAGAAACACTTCCCTTCATTTCGATTTTATAATTCTTTTTTGGACTCTTCTATAATACCCAATTGAAAAAAAAAAGTTCAACAACAAAAGGGTGAATCAGAAGAAACAAAGAGGGATCGGAAATTTAGAGAGAGAGAGAGAGAAAGGGAGGCCTAGGGATCGAGGCCAAGGCAGCGGTAGTACCAGGCCTCTTTGCAAGAACCGAAGGAAGAAGAAAAGAATTGAAGAAGTATAGAGAGCAACGGAATGGAATGCGTAGAGAGAGAGAAGTGCTGCTGCGCGGGTTGCGTGTGCGCAGAAGAAGATGAAGAGAGAGAAAGCATGAAAGCACGGAGAGACCCAACCATCCAAAACGGCTCTGTGAAGAAGAAGATGATAATTGATCTTGATCTGGGTCTGGGTCTGGGTCTGGGCTTTCACTATTGTTCGACAGAAGAGAGAGAAGGGTGGACAGACAATGCGTTTGAATCTTGTCTAGTGCCTGCTGTATTCGTAAATAATATGTATGGCATCGATACTATATATATATATATAAAGAAAGTGGAGTCAGTGGACAATTGACAGATCTTGCTTTCTGGGCAGTTCGTTTCATACGTCCATTTCAGGCGGTGTTCGTTATTGCTGTTATAGAAAAATTTAGATTATTTTTGATAAATTGCAAAAAAAAATTCATTTGTATCATTCCTTTTTTTTATATCTGATGGGGACCACCATCTAATTTTAATGTGAAAAAAATTCTATGACAAATCCAAAGGCCATGTTTTGGCAAATGATTTTGTTGCATGTTTGGCTGTTGTACGGTTGGAGAGCAAACTACACGATCAAATATTGTAGTTTGGTTCCATTTTTTACACTTTGGTTCAGTTCTGATTTTAAAAAGGGTGTGGATATAATTTAGATTTCTACGTGACCAGACCAGACCGTTATATATATTATATATGATAGGCTAAAATGTTAAAAAAAAAAAAAAAAATTTATATATAGAATGTGCAAATACCTGCCCAATGTATAAAAAACTTCCTTAAATTTTTTAAATTAAGCAAATAAGGACATTTTTTCAATTTAGAGATTAAAAAACCTAAAATGTCCTTAAAGTAGAGTAAAAAAAAATATTTCAATTTTTTAAATTTTAATTTAGTTTTTATCAAGGGTATTTTGGAATCTTTATAAAAAAATTTTGATAAAAATTGACAATGAGGTGAAATTTGTTAGAACAAAATTTAAAATATTAGGAATTTATATGCACATATTAAATAGTATGATTTTTTTAAGGGTAGTTCGGAATTGTTTGCAAGTTTTTTTTATATGGCAGGGATTTTTTTGCAAGTTTAATTAATCGTGTGCCGTGATTTGTTAACCATATGGGTGCTATTTGCTAAAAAAGTAAATCGTAAGGATGTTTTATATACTTAGCCCCAAATATATATATATATATAATAATAATAAAATAATAAGATTAGCCTTCAACCATTCAATATATATAAGAGGAGAAATATAGGAGAAAATTTTCTTTTGATATTTGCTCACTTATTTCTAATATTATGAATGTAATAATTCGAGTAAGGATTGTTTTTGTTTTAGTAACTTAATATTAATTTTCAAATGACAAAAAATAATCCTACGTATTTTATATTAATGCATATGTTTTAACATTGCATTATAACCCTGTTTTTTTAAATAAAATTATTGCAAAACAACTCTCGTTATGCAATAATTTTAATGACGGACTTTTGAAGTTTAGGAGTCCTTTTATGGCCCTTTCAACTTTCTAGCTTCCCAAACACTACCTAAGACTCCTCCAGTGATTAATCCCCTGTTGCTCAATTAGTAGGAGAAAGCTGTATGAACAAAACAAGATAGAAACAAAGTTGGGATTTCAATACAGAATATTTAAATGCTCTTTAAAAGATGCACCAACATTAAGTATTTCCCTCGCAACAAAGCAAACCAAAGCAAGCATCTCACAAAAATGGTAGCATAAAATTACTTAGGCCCAAAGGAAGGGAGTCTTAAAACATTTCGATATATATCTATATATATATATATATATATATATATATATATGGTATATACCAAATTGCCAATACAATAAAAGCATAATCTGCTGCCCCATCCAAGTACTTTTCATTTTCCTTTCAAAGAAGAACAAAAATGATGAACACAATTAATTTTTACTTAATGAGGTTATTAAAAATGAATTTTGAAGATTAATTATAATAGAATAAATGACTTGTAATAAAAAAATAAATAAAACTTAAAAGAGAGAATTCATATGACCGAACCAAGAATGATTATAATAAAAAATTAATTTTTAACTTGTGCAGAGAAATGCTAACTAAATTGTAATAATTGCGTGTGCCTGTGCGTGTTTATCCATGCTTATTTATTTTATGCCTAATAATGCTTGTGAGTCTTGTTCGTGGGTAGAGTGCGTCATCTGAAAAAGAGTTGCAGTAAACATCCAGTCTTAATTGTGGCATGATAAAGATAGTGAAACAGGTGGCCAATCACATTCCCAAGACTTTGTATAATTATTGATGTTTTTTTATTTTTTAAATCAAAATAATTGTCATTGAATAAAAATAAAAAAATGTACTCCATGCCTTCTAAGACTTTGTATTTGTTTATTTTTGTGCTTTCATTAATAGTATGAATCCCACCCTCGATTTTGGATTCTCAATGGATGAGGGTCTATTCAATCCTAATACGTTAAAAAAATGTCCAATAATTTAACCCATTAATTATGAAAAAGAAGTCAAACAAAAAGTAAAAAAATTGGGTTGTTAAATATATTATAGCATTTTGATGAAAAAAACATTATAGTAATTTTGAAGTATTATATATTATAGCATTAGATAACATGTGTATATTATATTGGATCATATTAAGTTAATTAACCGTGTGATAATATAAATTAAATTACTTCAATGTGTGTTCATCTGTATGGAATTAAAGTTTTGAAATTGAAATTTGTGAAATTTTTTAAAAAATTAATTCAATTTTCTTAGTTATTTTTTTTTTTCAAATTTCACTAATTCCAATTCCAAACAACCGAACACACCCTCAACCTAAATTGAATTTCAACATCGAACCAAATGTGAGCCATTAAATATATCTGCTTGATCCTATTCTTTTAGGGTGTGTGTTGATCTCCAAGAATATTTCTAAAAAAGTTTTGATAAATCAAGATATTTTACATTTGCTAGTCTAAACTAATCTTTCTTCAATTCTAATATTAAGACACCAAATTCTTCCAACACGAGTTGATAACACTCGCATCTAGTTTTTGCTTCCAAATACGACACTAATATCAAACCATCATGCCACAATAGCTTTGATGTTCCAATTAACATTGTTAAATTAAAAGGTAATGGAAATCCAAACAGTTCAGAGAGACAAATATTAGGAGACGGACTAATGAGAGGTAATTATTTGATGGAACAGTAAAATGTCGTATTAAAAAGTACGAAACAAAAACGAAAAAGAAAACAAAACATTCTCAATGAAGCACATACCCAAAACATTCTCTCTTTGTTTAAGCTCTCCAGGTATATTTTTCTATGAAGCTCAGTGGAGTTCATTGTGATGACAACAAACCATTGAAGGTGTTGAATTTAATGTCAATTCAAGTGTGTATGAAGATGATATATTTGCTTTGTATTTTTGATTCATTTTATTGTGCACAATGTTATTCAATCATATATAGCAGGTTTACACTAGCCCTATCAAGGACGTGCTGGCCATTTCTCGTGCAGGTCACAGGTTGAGATCTATTGGAGAGAGATTTAAATTAAACAGGAAAAAGTTCATACGGCTCAATTGGTCGTGGATGTAAAAGAGATTATAAAATTTACTGTTGAATAGTGAAAATGTCAAAAAGGTTAATAAGTTCGTCTAATCTTTCCTTTCAAATAAAATAGAATTAGGAGTAAAAAAGTGGCTAATAACCAAAACCAAGCCACCAATAATTGATAGTTACATCACCATTCACCGCCCACGTCTCTTTAATTACGAAAAAAGCCTCGAAATTGACTGCCCAACTACAAATTCCTTGTATCAATATATATATATATAGACATTACACACACACACACACACACACACATATATTATTGACATTACACACACATATATGTAATTAAAGAAATTATTCAAAATTAGCTATCAGGTGTGTCCCAGAATGAAAAATGAATTGAAAACAAATTACTAGTGCTTTGCTGGGCCGTCTTGCTTCAAGGAACATGGAATGTTTGTTATTCAAAGATAGAAAAGTTCATATAGAACACACAAAGCAAACACAAGCAAAACAACATGCTGTGATCAAGTTTTAGGTAAAATGTTAAATCAATCTTTTGAATAAGATTCATTTGCAAATAATATGTACGACATACTTACCTTCCGAAAAAAAAAAAATATGTAGGACATGCTGCTTAAAAATGGACCTTTTAAGAACAATAGAAAGACCTTCAACTTTCTACCTCTCAACAGGCTACAAAAAAAGCCTTGATAGAGTATCTCCCTCTCTCTAATCTATATACTATATGTGTGTGTGTATACATATATATATATAGTATAAGTATATATATATGCATGTAACAAAAGAGAGAACATTGTCAAAACTGAATATGAACGGAAATTAGCCAAACAATCAGCAACCAAACAAACAGCAACTATTAACTTATAAAGCCACTGTCAAATACCTTGGACAAGTATGTTTACTTACCAGATGGAGACATTAAGCCGCTTTATGCGATGCAACATTAAATTTATAATGATGAAAATTTGAAGTTCTTTTCTTCCACGACAGATGCTCAATAATTTCCTTCAATTCAGTATCACCCTTGGCCACTGTTGAAAAAAACAATTTTCAAAGAGGCATCTATTTTTCACCAACATAACATATTCTGAAACTGCTTTGCCAGAACTCCTCTCTATCAATATTTTGTTTCTCTGGCACCCGGGAGAAGCAAAAATTATTACCTTGTCATTAATTAAACATCAACCGTTTTAGTAACACAGGATTCCATATATCATATTATTAGTCTGCACTAGAGCATCTGCCCAAATAGCATGGCAAAAGGATCAAGACGCACCATATGTTTGTTCCCTCCCATATTTTCCTAATCTTATTTCGGTATTGATCAACTTTCTTAACCAGAGAAGAATTTAAGACACCCTCATTCAACATGGGGTGAGGGGAAGGGGAAGGGGAAGGGGAAGGCATGATTAAGTATCTCTTTGGTTCAGTTCTCAAACTCAAAAAAAACAAAAAACTGTTTTCAGAACTACAACAGATAGTTTTATGAAAATAGATCTTTTTTTAACTGAGTTATCAAAAAACAGTTTTCGAAAAATTGCAACCAATCAAGTTCCTGAAAAATTTATTATTATTATTATTATTATTTTCAATTAGAAAACTGAACCAAACAAGCCCTAAATTTTCTCTAGGGATTCATATTTATAGTTGCCATTCTTTACTTACCTGATCTGAACATGAAGAACTTTTTAGCGGCCTCAAAATATCTATAGCTCCTTTCACAGCTTAGGGCAAGGAGCATGGGGGAAATCTTCCCATAAAGGGTAAATATTCAAAATCATGTAACAATAGTAGTGATTCAACTCAAGTTAGCCACGAATTCAATTGGAGAATAGAAAGACATCCTACCATTTCCATAAACTACTTCACTTTGATGTTCAATCTATCATCAATAATATCCATATTCAAAGATAAAACAAAAATTATGACAAAAGAACAAGCATTACCAAGAGAGGATGAATACCAACAAAAAAAAAAAAAAAAAAAAAAAAAAGGTATTTTCATCCCAAAGTAAAAGCGAAAATTTGAAAAGAAGTCTGTATTATGATTCTACAAATGTAATTTTTCTAGGAAGGTAATAACCATCAGCCAAATCAATATCCAGGTTGGATAGAGTTTGGCCGTGTCGAGGATTAATATACAGGGAGATAAACCAAGTCTAAATGAGCACACAATAAAACGCAAAAGTGGGTGCAGTTTTCACAATGCCTTCCCAGAATCAATAGGGTGATAAAGGTTGAAAGGAAGTCAAACTGAAATAATTCAAACTACACTGAAGAATAAAAGAAATTCGATTCTGATTACATCTAGGTGCAGGTACATTAGGTTGTGGCACCGTATGATAATAAATTACAAAGATGACTTAATTCTGGGAAGCTACCAAGACAGCATGGGCAGAATTAGAGGCCTCATTCCTCGTTTTATCATTTCTTTAACCTAAAAGGGCAATATTTGCTAGTGACTACACTAATTCTGAATTGCAAGTGCACATTGTGAACCCAATGACATATTCATGTTTGCTAGAGATTAAATCTACAGGAAAAATTACTAAATATATTTATCAAAACACATTCAGTACTTTGTTCTTATATTGTATTAAATAATGGTAAAATATGCTAATATTCACAAAAGAGGAAACGTTCATAGGCTAGATATACATCACTTTGTCTTTATAAGCACCTAATATGACAGAGGGATGCTTGTGTAAATAAAGAAATGAGAATATGAAATGAAGATCAAATATGGTTCATAATATTATGCATTAATAACGTTAATTTCTACTTTTTATCTGCATATACTATGCATAAATAAATATATTGTTTTCAGGATAAGAAGTTTATAGCTTATATACTATAAATAGTTAGTATATTATGCATTAATTAATAAATAGAATCAGTTATGAATGGACAAAGTTATGAGTTCAAAAACCATAACTTTGACTTGATAAGTGTTTCATTTGACTTGCCAAGGCAACAAAAAACTCCACTGGCAAACACAACACCCATTAATGAGCTTAATGTCACGATCCGATTCCTAACGACGCCATGAGCATAGAAGATACGCATGCTGGTTGGCTAAGAACATTCATTGACTGGGAATGGTTCCAGGGAAGGGGCGTGCAGGACCACAGGATGGTACCTCTTCAGAGTTCAGGCAGGTCGACTCGGTTCAGTTCGAGGTGCTTGTCGCTGGTCGTGGACTTGACTATGAAGAAGGGAGTTGGCCATCCCTGCACAAACTGGTCGGGAGCTGGAGCCGTTCCCCTGACGAGGCCATGGCAGGCCGAAACCAGTCAGCATGCATCATTGGGAGGGCAGGTCGTGGTGGCTGACCAGGGCGCTTGCGCGAGCTGAAGCAACGCCTTGATGCCGCACGGGCCGTGCCGCTGCGCCGAATCTCTAGGCCCGTGACAAATGGTATCAGAGCAGGACTTGGGGAAAAGCACAGAGGTGTGCCCTCTTGTCGATCCGGGGGTCTTGAGAATGAAGACGGTGCACTAAAGCGTCGGTGGGCAATCAATGCTGTTGGAGGAGAGCCTCCATCTCCCCATGAAGATGCGTCCTTTAAGCCGGAGGGCCGCGCGCATCGGATGGCCGGAGGGCCGCGCGCACCAAAGTTCTTACAAGTTCAAGAGGCGTGCAAACCGTTGTGAAGGGCGGGTATCAAGTCAGCCGGAGAGCGCTTGTTTGCTCGGGGTGTCGCGGAGGCGGCATAACGTGGGGTTGCGTCCCGAAGAAGTGGGCGTCCCTTTAGCCCGAAACCCTATCATTGGGCGAGTGCAGCCAGGGGTTGTACAAGGAAGCGATGGTGGGCAGGCGAGCATACCACTTGGAAGAGAGAGACTTTGGAATGTTGGACGCAGCGGAGTCAGCGCCGCACTGCGACGAGGGCGTCGCAGGATTTGGGTGGGGGAGAATGTCACGATCCGATTCCTAACGACGCCATGAGCATAAAAGATACGCATGCTGGTTGGCTAAGAACATTCATTGACTGGGAATGGTTCCAGGGAAGGGGCGTGCAGGACCACAGGATGGTACCTCTTCAGAGTTCAGGCAGGTCGACTCGGTTCAGTTCGAGGTGCTTGTCGCTGGTCGTGGACTTGACTATGAAGAAGGGAGTTGGCCATCCCTGCACAAACTGGTCGGGAGCTGGAGCCGTTCCCCTGACGAGGCTATGGCAGGCCGAAACCAGTCAGCATGCATCCTTGGGAGGGCAGGTCGTGATGGCTGACCAGGGCGCTTGCGCGAGCTGAAGCAACGCCTTGGTGCTGCACGGGCCGTGCCGCTGCGCCGAATCTCTAGGCCCGTGACATTAAGCTGAGCTGGTGTGTACCTGAAAAGCTTCCCAAATGACCTCAAACCAAGAGGCTAGGAATTCAAACCAGCAGAGATTAAAGATGGTCAAATGCGCATTGCAAAGAAAACGGAAACCAAAGGAAAAAAAAGAAGGAACAGTGTACACACAAACAGGTATATGAAGGTAAAAAGAAGAGAATAGAACAAGAGAAGGAAAATCAGGCTACCAATGATCAGGATTTCTCAGCTACTTGTTATGCATTTTCATCAGAAGGTACGTAAAACATCTCCCCTTGATATGTTTCACATTTTTCCTGCCTAATATTGTGCTATTTTATGAAATTGTGGCTTAAAATGAAGCACAAGGCTGAAAATATTTAAAAAATAGACTTTCATCATAGTTTTACCCATTCTGTACTTCCATAAAACGTTCTAAAAAGCGGCTGCAGCCACTGACATGGTTGCGGCCGCGGGCAATAACAGAAGTTACGTAATGGAGACCAGCCATCACGGTCATGCACTTTTTTCTACACTAAGAAAAACGATCAAAACGAACTGAATACACAACACTATGAAACATGATCAAGAAATCAATAAACCATGTTTTTAGTGTTTTCTTAATCAATCTTGTTGAATATACAATGGCGGTCTGATATGAGTAATAGTCACTAATTAAATTTAAGGCATTGTTAGCCATACAAATGCAATAATTCGTACTTTGCACTAAATTTATGGCCACAAATAATATTAAAAACAAAATCAATTGTTAAGCCGATTCCGGATGTTGTTAGCTCAACTCGTACAGGTTTCATGAACACTAAGCCCATGTAGACTTGTAAATGTTTATGAACATAGGCTCATAAACAAAGGCTTGTGTATGCCTGTATAGATTCATGAATGTAGGCTCATGAACATAGGCTTGTGAAGACTCGTATAAGTTCTCATGAACAAAGGCTTGATTAAGCTTGTAAAGTCCATGAACAGAGGTGTAGGCTCGTTCATTAACAAGCCAAATCGATTTTTAATACGAGATCAAACCGAGCCCGGACATGAATATGGTGTCAAGGTTGGCTTTTTTCATTAAACGAGCCAAGACAAGCCGAGCCCGAGCTTTTCCAACTAATGATGAGCCATGCCCAAGCTCAACCTTTCAAACTCGTGACGATCCTGAGCTAACCCACAAATGAACGAGCCGAGCCTGAATAGACTGAAACTTGACTCGGCTCAATTCATTTGCAACCTTACTGCAATTGGTGATTGCAAATATTGCAACAACAGTAGAAGTATGGAGAATTTATGGCTTTATAGGCCATGATAAACCATCCTAATTTAAAAAAAGAAAAAAGAAAATGAATTGATTCTGAAGTCCACAAAAAACTTAAAGCTTAGTTTCAAAACTGTAAGTCATGGGAATCTCAAAATTTTCAATGTTCATTCAAAGAGGGAACATTTATACTAGAACAAACCAACTTCTATTTATCTGGTAGTCTAAGCTGAATCTTGTAGGGATATTGAAATGATCTCCTGAAAAGACAAAATATTAGAAACAAGTTCTCTAACCTTTTGGAATAATTTATCAGAATTCAAACCTTAAAGCTAACTCAACTCTAGATATTCAAGTGGAAATTATTTTCAGAATCTTAACATGCAATGCAAACCAGTATTCTATACTTTCAATTTACTGTAATCTGTTTTGCAAAACCTTCTAATGCTTATATATCATACAACAAAACAAGATCAAAGAAATATGTGTTTTAGATAGAAATTCATACTGAGGCACTTAACCCAAAAAACAGAAATAAATAATTAATTTATACTGAGGCTCAACATCAATTGCTCTACACAATAGACATGACCTGACCAGTGATTCTGAAGCTATTCTACAATCAACAAGTTGTTTAGCATTAATCCTTCGCCCACAGTAGGAAATTCTGGTGATAGCTTCCACTCTCCATCGACCAAGAACTTGATTTCATACCTTCAACACATAAAATAATAATTTGTAAAAATCACAGCATAAATAATGGTTTAAATAAAATGACAAGTTTAGAGGCCCAAGAGATTGTTACCGTCCAGGTCTAAGCATTAATGTTGTAGAGAACTTTGTGTAAGAACCAGTATACTCTGGTGATAAGTGCTCTCCTTGACTCCAGCCATCAAAGCTGCCCATTACTTGCACGCTCTGATACCAAAATGTAAAAAACAAAATATACTTCCTCAAAAATTAATAAAGTAGGCTTCAGTGAAAGACAACCAGGATTGTCAAAGATATTCATATATGATACTAGGGACATCAATTCAGAATGGAATTCTACTGTGAGATCATTATGAAAAGTGGAGACATCCACAACCAAAAGGATTCATCATCAGAGAGTGATAACAAAATAATTGAATTGTAATTGTTCCTTTAAAAATTATAGTGATCACATATATTTGATGAAATGACTCACATCAAGGCCATTTAAAAGAAAAAAATGTATTTTGAAGGCTATGTAAAATCAGTGGAAATCATTCAGTCCATGTGGTGCCCAAATTATACTTTGAAACTTGAGAACACTGCGATTGCCAACCCTAATTTATATACACTGCCACGCATATAACATAAGAAATGCATTTAAATGAATTTTAACAAGACATCATAGGTATTACAATTAAAAAAAAAAAGAAAAGAAAAAGAAAAAAAGATAAAAAAGAGTCACGCTTCTTTATACATGGTTGATGTTCAAGGTAAACAGAAAGTCACTAAATTGATATGACTATATTGATCTACGGATTGGTTAATTATGTTTACTTGCAAATGAATTTGTTTGGCTTCAGATCAAATCAGCTTGAAAAGAGGCTGATGGAACCACATAACTGAATTTCAAGAAAAAATAGTGGAAGAAAGAAGCCATTTACTTATTTCTTTAGAGATGAACTGTCTGACATCAACACTTCTATTTAATAGCTCTACGTTTTATGGCAGTAATCACACCCCAGTGAATAAAAATTGACAAGAGATACTCATAAAAAAGGAACCAGTCATGTAATGAGTGAAAAAGAACTGAAGTAGATGAAGAAGGTGATTACTTGCTAGCTCACCTCATCCATACCATACCAGAATATGGGCACCTCCTTCGATTGTGCAGCATCTACATCCTTTATATGTTCCTTCATTTTTTTATGTACAGCTTTATAGAAGCAAAAAAAATGAAGATAATAAGCATAAGAAGATTTCTTGCAAGGAGTGCATGCAGAACTTTCACAAAAATAAAATTATCCTTCAACATTCTATAAAGTTGTGTCACATCAAAAATTAAAGATTTGGCCTGGAAAGGAACCTAAAAAGGTCCACTTCAACCACGAACTCATCAAACCAGGTCCTTGGGGCCTAAAATGCTGCATCAAAAATTCTGAAGGCATGCATTCAAGTCCAGTGGATCCACCAGGGAGTAGGAAAATCAAATGCTACATAACTTTCAATACCCTGCAATTTACCTTGACTATTATTCTTAGCCTATATAGAGGGCCAGCAACCTCATATAGTCATATCCAAATGGAAGCGCCATCACTAATTAGGCAGGCTTGATTATGACAAAGAATATTTGCTAAGAAGAAAAGCATGACAAATTAATCACACCTTCCAACCGTGAAAGAAGGTGAGACTGGATGTATTTCCCATTAATCCTTCTTGAACCTTCTGGAATTCCATATTTAGCAATTTCCTCCGCCAATGTGACCAAAGACTGTCCATGAAAATGGATAAGAGTATTAAATGACTGTCTTGCTTTCCAATCTTTTCTGTCCTAAAATATGTGTCTACTAGTATAAAATTCAAAATATTATTTTTGTAATTTCCCGTAATAACACTTCCCAGCAACTACAATAAATGGAAGTCTTTTCTTCAAATTTGTACTGTTTTTTCCCACTTTCTACTAGGATAAATTAGGAAAGGCAACAAAATATGTGATGCACTACAAAAACTATCTTTTTTTTAAATTTGAGACTTTTTCAAAGGAGACGTACAATTTGGGATGGAGGGAGTAGAGGTAAGAAGTTGAGGTGATATTTTTTTCTGTTAAGGTAACAAGGTTAGATTCTATTCATTCTTACGTATAGTTCATATAATAACCATGGTTTATAATTTATCATAAAGCTTTCAGGATCATAATGCATTGTTCTAAGCCTCCACTAATCCAAATAGGCAAAGCTGACTATAAATCTTGAGACATGCGGAACCCGTGGAAGATAATTGATGAGTTTAGTGAATGAAATCCACATTTCACCTTTACAGTCAAAGTGTAATAATGGGATCCAAAACTTAAGGCAAGGCATCAAGTATTCTCTATGAAAATCAGATCGTGCGGAGCTTGACCATGGCACCATTTTAGTAATTGACCCACATGCTTAACAAACATATAGATATGATAAATCTTCTTTTTTTTTTTTTTTTTTTAACTAGATACTCCCCCCACCCCTCCCCTTTGGACAAGGCATACCAACTTGTGTGCAGATTGTTAATTAGCACACAAACAAATAAATCTCTCAAACATAATGCAAAAATGTATTAGAAAAAGGACTTTGCTAATATCACTAATCTCCCCAGCCAAAGTTGCCTGAGCAATATGATATCCTGAAAAAGCCTTTGGATGTTTACACACTAATTTTGATAAAGAAAATTTTTGATGACTATTATCCATGTTTCTACTTCTCTCCGATTTGTTTAAATGATATTGAATAATGAATACAGTTAAATAATTATTCAAGTCTTTTTTTTCCCTGTTGCTACCAACTTAGTAACTCAGAGATGTTTAAGATAGTGTTGCATTATCTATCTACCACATCTTTTTTTTTTTTTTGATAAGTAAAATTATATTAAAAAACGCTCAAAAGGGCAGCGGAACCCAAAGAAACAAAAGGGCCAAAGGGCGCCTAAGACCTTCAATGAGGCCAAAAAAACAATAATCTTGTGGACTAGTAGGCATTTTCAATTGTTATGTTTCTGAGTTTCTATTATTAACTCAAGAGTGTTCACAATTATATTCTTATGATATTCAGCATTTTAACATAAATAATAATATTTTAGAGAGAGAACCTCGATGCTCTCCCATTCCCACTAAGCTTAGGATTTGTCACCACCCGCCACTGTAGTGGTGACAGTTGTGGTGTAATGGATGTGTAAAATTTAGTGGACATTACGGCGATGGCTAAAAAGGTCTGAAATATTATTCCCTTTGCCCAACTCCCTAAAATGCACTGATACATAAAATAATTAAAATTATTTATCATGGTATAGTATACGATACATGCTGATGTAAGCATCAAAATTCAAAACTACTAAACTACTGCGACCATTTCTGTCCCAAGTCCACCACAGCCACTCTCCCTCTCTCTCTCTCTCTCTATATATATATATATATATATCTCACCCCTTCGTCACTCTCCACCACCAGTCCAATTCGTCATCAAACATTGCTTGCCTATCGGGAAAAACATCCACCATTAATAGACAAAAGAACTCTAACCACAATCTTTCTACGGCGGTCTCCTCTCTCCACCTCAACGCCACTGATTCTCACCGTCCACTACACCACCACGACCCCTCTCCTAAACCCACCAACAATTGCAACCCAACAACCCCAATCGGGCCCTTCTCTCCCTCTCAATAAGAAGCCATGGTGTCCAAAATCATAAAGAGAACCCCAACAAAAACCACTGAAGCCATCACGGGAAGAAGAAAAAGAAAGAAAACCTATCATCAGTAGTAACCTTTTGGGTTCAATTCAATGCTCAGTAACCCCCAATTGAGGAATTTGGAAACCCAGTTGAGGGATTTGGAAACCCAATTGATGAGTCTGTTTGGGAGATATATGTGGGGTGGGCCATATTGGAGATTCAAGTGGTGGACAGAAACAAGGACCGGAGCCACAACTGCCATTGGAAGAAGTATGTAGCAGGGTAGTGGTTGGGTGCTGTTTTTATTTGGGTGTGGGAGTGAGAGAGAGAGTAATGACGCTTGTAGCTATGGAGGCAGCGAGAGCACAACTGATTCGATTGAGACTGCCAATTAACCACCACCACTACAATCACCACCATGAAATGGAAGAGGTCTGTAAGACTTCATCTTGATTAGGTGAATTTCTGAGCAAAAATTATAACACTGCCCAAATGAGTATTATGAGCATATCTTCACCCAAATGAAGCATTCTTGTATGTCCACTTCTTCCTTTCATGGGCTTTCACGAGCTGATGGATAACATTCATATTGATTTATAACAAGATTTTTTTTTTTTTTTTTTTTTTTTTTTTTCCTAAAAAAAACATAAGGGTATTATTGGTATTTCATTAAAAAATAACTGGTTAACGGTCAACTAACGGCAAAGGGTGGTTGGGTAAAGTCAATCAAACCTCAAGGGAGGTTGACCAAACTATTTTAACCAGTTTAATTGGAAGATAATTTAAGCAAACCATAGGAGAGATCAGGGTAATTTACCCCTATATATATATTGAGGTTATTCACTCAGTATGGCATGATCTTTTTTGAATATATATATATATATATATATATATAAGGATTTTTGATTGGTAAGATGAATATGATCATCAAGAACCACACCACTCTTTTTGGTGGTGAATTGACTAAAGTCCTGAATCAATAAGGTATAAAATACTTGAATATTTCTTTTTTTTTTCCCCTGAATGAGTTTATTTTATTGATACAGAAATATAGTACAAGATAACAGCCAGAAGGCTAAGACAAAATACTTGAATATTTCATTTTATGAATTATTACTTCTAATTGAAATTTTAGTCATTACTTGTGTTGGTTAATGCATTACTTCTAATTGAATTTTTAGTCATTACGTGTGTTGGTTAGTGCATTGTTTTTCACAACAGATGGTAATTTGTTCCTATTTTAATTAGAACCTATATAAAGTTCAATACAATAAGTAAAACATCTTTCTAAGTGTTAAAACATTGACAAATTAAAATTTAAAATATCAAAATATGACAAACTGATATCAGAACATGCACATTATTGACTTTTCAGCGGTTTACAGCAGTGATAAGTGATTCATGTAAAGTCTTGCTCGATATTCACAATCGTGACTGTTATGTAACCCGATACCATGATCTAAAACCATGGTACTGCAATTGCAGTTTTGATTTTAACACTCATGCAGTATCACAATTGTGGTCTTGTGGTCCATCCTAGCAAAACCTAAATTATATTCTTTGTTGGGTTTCAAAGAACTAATTGATAAATCTGACAAATCCAAACTGGGAACCATATATGCTTATCTCTTTGTATGGTTCAACCACATCGGTAGTCACAAGGAATTTAAACTTTGCTATACTTTAGAGAATAATACTTAAAAAGGTATAGCATATTAAATTGGACACTTTGCAGCAAAAGGCTCCCCTAGTCGAAGGAAATGCTCGGGATAATTTTTTCTCCTTGTCTTGATTACTGGAAAACAGAAAGACAAGGAAGATAGTAGTTATATACCTGAACCTCTAGTTCGATGACAGCAAGTTCACTCTTGAAATTAACCAATGCATCCTCCTTCACATTCAACTGGGGATAACAAATAAATAAAGTTTGACAGTCAGAAGAGGTTATTCCGAACAGAAATCCGCAAATCTGCTATCTAATGTGCTGAGGATTTAATTTTTAATAAATTAAATTGCTTCTTTAAGGACACGAACAGGCAAATATTGCACCGCGTTATCCTTTTTTTCCGGTGCAAATCTTAAAAAGTTCCATTCGAGATTACTTTTCATGGAGTCATTCAGGTAATGACATACTTTTCAATTAAATAGGGTACACCACATGCATGGTGCACAAATAAAGCCATATGATAACATAGCTCATTGTTTTAAACTATAAAAGACGGACATAAATAGAGGATACCAAATGACACAACACAAACATATCAATACATGGACGAGCCAAAATCCTCAATACAAATCATTACCGTGTGAAAAAAAATCTCAATTTGGATTCATTTAGGCTTTTAATTTTTGAAATCCACATTTAAAGAAAAAAATCAGAAAACTAGAATATAACCCGTATCCTTCTTCTCCTCATTCTACATTTTTTAACAAAAAATCCTTTGTCCATTTATATGTATATGTTTGCAAAATTAGATATATTTTTGTATACATGGGTTACGAATTTTTTTTTGTTCATTAAATGATATTATATAATTATAGGTCTCCCCTATTGAGGCATGGAAATGTATATATTATATCCTTCCCAGAAAAAAATATGCATATACAAAATATATAAAATTAATTGTTTGTCATATATATGTAAATATATATATTACAAGAATAAATGCTTGTCATAGACTCATATTACATCATAGAACACATGATTACTTATATTTTGAAGATATTTTTACGGGGAAAGATAGTTTGACTAATTTTTCTACTAGTTTTGTAGAAACACACGATCCTCAATCCAATTTTACGATCTCAATCCTATGTAAAATTCAGATCCTGACAATCATGACAAGTCACAAAGTAAGCACACAATTAAGCATCAACACAACTAAAAAAATTATACAATTTTCAACAATCCACTCACTCTGAGTTAAATATTTCCTAAAGAAGTTAAAAAGAAAAACATAAATCTTGTCAGAGTGTTTATTGACTCAAATTTTGGTTCAATTAGTCATTAAACCAAAATCGGATCCAATAGAGACAGGAACCGATATTTAAAATAAGGTCCAGTTTTGGATTTAAACGTAACCAAATGGAAGTGAACCCATGAATAAGGAAACTCAAGTAAAGAGAAGCCTGATGTTGGTGCGCTGAGCAAACTTTCTGATCAACCTTTCCTTATACTCGAAGTGTTTATACTGAAGATAACAAGTGTTTGTGCAAAACAAAAATCAAAGGCTGGTATCCAGTTAGGTCAACTACCTCTGTGAGGAAGCCTGATGACTCTGAAGAAGGAGATTGCTCAGATCAGGAACAAGTTTGATCGAAGGAAGCAGATTTTTCTTGATGAAGAATTAAAAAAAATAATAATAATAATAATTCTTTGGACAATGATATAAATATAATATATATATATATGAGATAGGTGGAAGCCTTTCTCCTTTAGCTAATCATATCGAAAAAAGGACCAGAACTACATGGATACACTATTTAGGAATTAATTAGTGAAACTTGGTAAGCAATGAAAATATATGTAGCATCATCTGATAAGGATAGTGAAATATATGGCTTGAAGAGTTTACTGTCCAAGACCATACCATCACTCAAGGGTTCATATTCCATCAATTTCTCCACACACAAAAAAAAAAAAAATGAAGAAGGTTTTTCCTGGTAGTAATAATGAAATTTATGTGATTGCTGAGGTGTCGAAATGCTATGCCACATAGGACATATCCATTTAAGATTCCAACAAGATAGAGAAACCCATCCGGTACTATGTAAGTCAGATAGATATCAAAAGGGTAGCAAAAATAATAGCAAAGCTAGCAACCATATGGAAAGAAAATATATAATTACAGCTAAGAAGCTGCATAAAGATTTAGTTCAGGAATCATTTATAAAAGAGTTAAGAGTTTAAGAATGCATTTGTAAAAACCTGTCTCTTGAGGAATCGGTTCTGTTGATTGGCTTCACTCAGTTTCTTGATAAGCTTCGCTCTTTCAGAGTCAGCAAGCAGTGCCTTCAACTGTTAAGGAATTACAAAATATTATGTCTGAAGAATTAAATATTAACCATCTGCCTGTCCAGATCACATATCTTGTTCCAAAAGCATAAAATCAAGAAATATTTTTGATGAAGCTAAAGTTGAATTAGGTATTATAATGCACTAAAGCCATAAGGATAACATGACTTCACTGAAGACTCTGAACAATCGAGTTAATAAAAAATATAATGGCATGTAACATATAATAAAGAAAATGCAAATGCCAGCAAAGGACTTTGAAGAAAAAAACTGAAATCACATACAATATTATTTCTTGGATTCATTTCATCTAAAGAACAATTCCTTACGGAACAAACAATAATGCTACATAGCAAAATGTGATGACCTTGTGGGTGGATGTGCCGTGGGCGGGTGCGAGAGACACTATCAGGCTACCACACTGACAAGCTACGGGTGCACAGTCCTACATCGCCTGGGTAAAGGAAAGGTGAAGTGCTTATATGTAAGTGTGTCACCTCCAATTGGTATAAGGTCTTTTGGGGTAAAGCTCAAGAGCAAATCCGTGCGGCCTCAGGCCCAAAGCGGACAATATTATACCATGTGGGGAGTGGGTCGTTACAAATGGTATCAAAGCCTGACCCAGCCGGAAGTGTGCCGACGGGGACGTCGGGCCTCCAAGGGGGGTGGATTGTGATAACCTTGTGGGCGAGTGTGCCATGGGCGGGTGCGAGAGACACTGTCAAGTTACCACACTGGCGAGCTACAGGTGCACAGTCCCATATCGCCTGGGTAGAGGAAAGGTGAAGTGCTTATATGTAAGTGTGTCACCTCCAATTGGTATGAGGCCTTTTGGGGTAAAACCCAAGAGCAAATTCATGCGAGCTCAGGCCCAAAGCGGACAATATCATACAATGTGGTGGAGTGGGTCGTTACAAATGGTTTCATAGTCTGACCCAGCCGGAAGTGTGCCGACGGGAACATCAGGCCTCCAAGGGGGGTGGATTGTGATGACCTTGTGGGTGTGTCGTGGGCAGGTGCGAGAGACACTGTCAGGCTACCACACTGGCGAGTTACGGGTGTACAGTACCACATTGCCCGGGTAGAGGAAAGGTGAAGTGCTTATATGTAAGTGTGTCACCTCCAATTGGTATAAGGCCTTTTGGGGTAAAGCCCAAGAGCAAATCCGTGCGGGCTCAGGCCCTAAAGCAGACAATATCATACCATGTGGTGGAGTGGGTCGTTACAAATGGTATCAGAGCCTGACCCAGCCGGAAGTGCTGACGGGGACGTCAGGCCTCCAAGGGGGGTGGATTGTGATGACCTTGTGGGTGGGTGTGCCATGGGCGGGTGCGAGAGACACTGTCAAGCTACCACACTGACGAGTTACGAATGCACAGTCCCACATCGACTAGGTAGAGGAAAGGTGAAGTGCTTATATGTAAGTATGTCACCTCCAATTGGTATGAGGCCTTTTGGGGTAAAGCCCAAGAGCAAATCCGTGAGGGCTTAGGCCCAAAGCGAACAATATCATATCATGTGGTGGAGTGGGTCGTTACACAAGATGCATTACTCTATGCTGTAAGAGAAAAGTATCTGCACCTTTCATAAGAGGAATGCGCCTGATGCAGTGTAAAAAGAGAAGAAGGAGAGAAAAATCAAAGGCAACAGGCTTATTAACTTCAACAAATGGCAAGATTAGATATTCCAGTTTTAAGGACTAGAAAAAAATATGAGAAAAGCCGACCAGTAGGTTTTAACACTTCCATTTCACCCAAGCCAAACACATTTCAAATAAGAAAAAGTAAGCAAAAATAGATTCAATGATAATAAAATTACTCTCCTCATTCCCACAAATGAACTATATAAACAAAGATTTAAGATCACAGCATATCAGAACCATATGAATGATCATATTTAAATTGCTATGTTTATGTTTAACTACAGTCTTACAGATCCATAACTAGTTCTGATATATTATTAATGGAATAGTTCATTGTAACAATTGAAAATTGAATGATTTTGTAACATGGGTGATTAAAATGGTGATACCAGCCCCATAAGGGCTTTAATAACAGGTCAGCCATTTTCTTGAAATTTGTTTTCATTAATGAGGGAAAGTTCTAAATATATATGTTGGGATATTTGAATGTATTACATGCATATACTAGGCTATAAACTATTTGTATACCGGATATCAAGATATCTGAACATCAATGTAATAATGTTTTTAACAAAGTAGAAAAAAGAAATTACATGGTGAAAGAAATAACATACTCTCTTTTCAGCATAATATATAAAGGTATTTAACGGCGAGTGACGAATGAGCTTACCACGTCATTTTTCAAAGGTCGTTCTAGAAGCTCCTCAGAGACAGCCTCAGCGGTATACTCATCATCACTTGAGAAATCTTCTACTGACGATGATAATTCCTCCTCGAGACTTGAAGATGAGGAAAATGTTCTCCAAGACACACAACGCACCGAATTCTTTCCAACAGAAGCTTGATTTGGGTAACTTAACCTTTGACATCTCGTCCTCGAACTCCACGCTGCCATATTACACGGAAGTCTGTGGATATTCTCCAAATTAAACTTTTTTGAATGCCTTGGAAACCAACCATGGCTGTCAAGACAACAGCTGTCAAAGTTGCAGTGGAACGGAAGTGAGCACAATACAAAGTTTGAAGAGTTGAAAGTGAAAATTAAACAACAATATCAGGTAAAAATTATACATAAGTCGGAAATGCTGATATGGTAGGATATTATGATGAAACAAGTGGTAATCAACACAACTTTTATCTCTACAGTTATCGAAAGTATATCATTGACCAAAAAACTTCTTAATAGTATATATATATGAGAAAACAATCAAATTTGTTGTCAAACATCTGCAATGAAAAAGAAAAAAATAAATGAACAGACAAACAGACTGGCATAAGTTGACAAAGTTACACCCTAAAGTAAAGAAAAAAAAACAATAAAAACAACTTTACCTTGCAGTGCCTATCCTATGACAATCCATGGTAAAGACTTCCTACCGCCAAAACAAAAATATAGAGATCAGGAACAACATTTTTCACAGCAATAGCATCTAATCTAATTTAATTGTGACAAGGACACAAAGCCACTAAATTACACAGCCCACAGAATATGAAGATTGGGTAATCACTCATAAGTAAGCCACTGAAAAATCAAAACTGCACTTTACTGACTAGTGCAAATAGTGAAACCAAAAAACCTTATTATTACTTTTCACAAGGTGTAATCATTAATAAAATAAACCAACAATCTGTGTCAAATATAAATTATATACTTATCTAGTGTTTAATAAGGGAGGAGGAATGTAGTTAATATGAGGCTTTTGTTAAGGAGGGTAATGCAAAGTCCATATTACAAATTTGAAGAACACTAATTACTAAGCATGCATAAATGTTTAAAGACAATATGAGTCAAAACAGGGTCTGAAATGCATATATAAGATGATAGGCAGTCTCCATCCTTTCAGAAACACAGCCCACTGTGAATAGTCTTACCCCTCACTATAATTATACCTTTAAATGGTATGAAGAAGAACTCCCCCAATACAATTGTGGTGTTTTTTTTTTTTAATCTCTGAAAGTAGAACATCGTTTAATCGGAAAATTTTAAATCTTAAATTCACTTCATGTGGAACAATCTCAACTGCATGGGGCAGTGCATCAATTAACTATGGTTGAAAAAAAAAATTGAGTAAAAAAAATGAGTGAGCCCACAGATGTGGGTAACAGGGAAAATGTATCCAAGTAGCCAGCAGGGCAATAGAAATTAAGGATAACAAGTAAATTCAAGAAACTAAAACCAAGAAAGTGAAGTTAAATCATGGCCACTAATTCCAATCTTCAATCAAATGCGCCCATTAACAACGAACTAGAAATGGGTATGTTTTAAAAGTAAAATAGAATTGCAATATAACTCATTTCAATGAATTATTGTTCAATGTTGTCAGAATGAGTTGGCCTAATACCAAAAATTGCAAATTGGCATTTATTCAAACACATAGAGGTCACCTGAAATTTGAATAAGAATATAGAGCAAAAAATATGAATGTGACGAAACTACCCCCAAAATCATGTTTTCAGACAGGTTTTCGGAATCTAAGTTTGGGGGGATCATTATCATCGTCATTGTCGTCATCAACAACAACAGCGATGCTTGGAGATAATAGATTAAAGGGATTTAGTGAGAGAACGTAGAGAACTTACTAGGTGTCCCGAACTGCTGCAGAATTCATGTTGCCGTGTGTGTTTTTTTTGTGTGTGGACAGGGAGGGTTCTTCAGTGGAGACAAGCAGCAAGGGGACACGTGTTAGGATGAAATATTCCCACGTGGACCCTCCGGTATGGGAAGTGGAAATCCTGAAGAAGGCATGTGATAAACATTGGATAAAAAAAAAATTGGGGTAAAATCCCCATTTTACCCATCTTCTATTAAATTGGTCCAAGAAACCCCATTAAAATTAAAACACCACTTAAACTATAAAATGTTATCCAGCTCTGTACTGTTAACCGACCCGCCGATTTGATTATGAAATAATAAAATTGACATTACTATTTAATATTAAATTAAAAATTAATACTATTTATTATTATAAAATTACAAAAATACCCGTGATCTTCTCCCCTACACACCCCCCCCCTCTCTCTCTCTTCTCAAATCAGACTCATCACCACCAATAATCAGACCCATCACCACCAATAACTTGGTAGCATCGATTCCACCACCACCCAACACCCAAACCAAATCCAATACCACCAACAACCAGTTACAGTACGGATTTCACCACTACCCAAACTAAAATCAAACCCATCACGGCCCCCAACAACCACGTATTCCACCACCACCCAACACCCAAACCAAACCCAATACCACCAACAACCAGTTACAGGATGGATTTCACCGCTACCCAAACCAAAATCAGACCCATCACAGCCACCAACAACCACGTATTCCACCACCACCCAACACCCAAACCAAACCCAACACCACCAACAACCACTTACAACACGAATTCAACCAATACCCAAACCAAATCAAGACCCATTACCGCCACCAACAACCAAACTAGCTGCAGCACGGCACCGAATCGCTCGTATTACGATCGCTTGCTCAAACGATGAATCGCATTTTTTATCTCCTACTATGGCTTCTGGAATTTTCAATCGTAACAATTCGGGTTCCAAAGGGTTCGAATTTGGCTCTGATGACATTCTCTGCTCATACGAATATTACGCCAATCAGGGGAGTTTTAATGGTAGTCACTCCGATCTTGGGCTTGGAACCAATTCCCCCAAGGTATTTATAGGCTCTTGTTTGATATATATTGCTGAATTCGAGTGTCCTCATGTGGTGGATATATTGGGGTTTTGATGAACTGTAAATATTGTTTGAGGTTTAACAGTTTTTTATTTTTTTCCTTTTTAATTGAATGAGGTCATTATAAGTGATGTTGAGGTGATGCAGTTAATTCGTTATTGACTCCGGTGGGATCAAAATTGAGTTGTTGTGAACACATAGATATACAACTTTAGGTTCTCTCTTTCTAGTGTTGTCCTAAATGGGCCTGGTGAGAGTTTTTTAGAGAGAGAGAGAGAGAGGATGTTGGGGAAGAAGACACAGGGTACTTTTATAATTTCACAATAATAATTAGGGAGTATTAAATTTTAATTTATCATTAAATCAAAAAGACAATTTTGTTATTTCACATGGATGGAGTTAACATTTTATAATTGAGGTGTTTAATTTTAGTGCAATTTCTTGCACCAATTCAATAGTAAAAAGGGATTTTGTGATTTTATCTCAAAAAAAATTAAAAAAAAAAAAAAAATAAATAAATAAATAAATAAATAAACACACCAGTCTCTCTAAGGTATTGTCATCGGGTCAGACAGACAATAACCCCTACAGCCCAGTCCAATAAGTGAAGAACCTTTGTTTATGGTTGAAAGCCCACTATAGATATGGGCTTTTAGTCAGGGCAGTCAATAACCCCTCAAGCCCAGTCCAATAGACTCGAGAAGAACATTTATTTACCATTGACAAACCCACTCTAGATCTGGGCTTTGAGCCTTAGGGCCCATTTGACATGCGTTTTGTTTTTGGCTAAAACAGAAACAATATTTTTGTTATAGAGTGTTTTGGAAAAAATTCGGAAACACGTTTGGGAATTATGATTTGCTGTAGAAATGTCGGAAACAAAAACATGTAAAACATATTTGGTCACACCAATATATATATATATATATATATATATATATATATATATTTGCAATAAACTATTTACATGTTTGGTTGGGAAATAGAAATGCAGAGAACATAAAGATCTGTTTGAATCTGGTGATTATTCTGTATAAGAAGAGAGAGAGAGTGCATGAGTTGAGATGTGTTGCTGGTTTTGGGAATAGTAGCGGTGAGTGAGAATTTTTTATTTTTTATTTTCCTGAACTAAACAACGCCTCCTCTCACCAGATTCAGAAACCTACGTACAAAAAAATCTTGAAAAGCGTATGCGTAGTTGCTTTGTCAAGGAAACAACATCGTGAGGGTGTTATGAGCTTTCAAAATTGGCTGTAAATGGCCATTTTTTATGTTGACGTTGCAAGTCTTTTCGACCCAGTTGCAGAGAGAGAGAGAGAGGGCAAGTTCAGGTCTGAGAACGAGAATAGAGAAGGAGGCATTATTTATAGGTAATAATAGGTTTTGATTCTTGCAGACAGATCGATAAACGGAAATAAATGGGTTTTGAATTTTTGATTCTTGTAGATTTTGTAGTTTGCAGTTGCAGAGACAGAGAAAAGGCAAACTCAGAGTAGAGAATGAGAATAGAGATAGAGGTGATTGGGAAGGCTTGGATCAGTGGTGGTGAAAATCCGCTTCGATAGGTGTTGTATTTGATAAAATCTAGCAAATTGAGGGCCCAACTTGGATCGGTGCCGATGGAATTTTTGTAAATCGCCCTTGAATCACATAAAGAGTATCGGGAGAGAAGAGAGAAAATTTGTCTAAAAATGATCTAAAATGTTTATATACCTAAAACAAATTGGGCCGTCAGTTTCCTCCGCTATGGTGAAAATTTGCCCAAACAGTGCTGAAACAAGGATAAAACACCATTTTGGTGTTTCAAGTTTTGGACTTTTTTATTGAAATGTTTTCCAACTGTGCAAAACAAAACATAACTAACCAAACATGTTTTGGACTTCATTTGGGCTACTGTAGTGGGTCTGAAATAAAAATAACAAAAACAACGAAAATGCCAAACAGCCCCTTAGTCACTTCCTTTTTTTATTTTTATTTTGTCAAAACGACTGTGCATATGTAAGCTATTATAATATGTTTGCGTGATCTTGCCTTCTATTCTTTGGGAACAATTTATGCATTTTAATGGGCAATGGTTTCAGGGTGAGCTGGGTAGGCCAGTGACTCACTTCATCCTTCCCCTCCCCTCCTTGCCATGTAAAAATGAAATAAAGGTTGAAGGTGCTATATATATATATATATTTTGAAAATAAAAAGTAATATTGAAATTTAATAACAAAAGAATATGATGTATAAAAAATAAAAAAATAAAAAATGTCAAACCAAATATATATGTATATTTTTTTCACAAAGCAAACAACAACAAACATAGCACCCAAATCAAGAGAAGTGTTATAGTCTTGTATAAAATTCTCCGTTGGAGTGATTTATAGTAGGATTTGCTGGTTGTATAATAGCACTTATATCTTGGACCTTTTATTTAAAATAAATAAATAGCACTAGATTACAAATACACAATATTTGGCAGTGGCTTGTACCAAGATAGGTAACAGAGAATTTTAAAACTCTACCATCCTATATACTTTTTATTTATTTATTTTTTACCCAACCATTTGAGAACTTACACTGTACTTTTAAAATTCAAATGGCTAAAGGAAGAGATAAAGCATAGAGTAAAATGTGAGGAAAAATATCCAAATGAAAGTGACTGTTGAGAATAGGGAATGAGAAATAAGGTGTCACAAGTAGGGAAATGGGAAAGATTGTTGATTTGACTGAAGAAATTTACTACCGAGAACAAGGATTGAGAATACAATGGCTGAAAGTGAAACTAAGGTTTGGAAAGTGAAATAAAAAAATTGGAGTCGTGATTGCTAGAATTGCACAAGGGTATTCAGTATTGAGAAGTGTGGTTTGGGACTGTTTATAGAACACTTTTTGGGCATTTGCAAGTGGAAGTAGAAGTGGTGGTGGATGACAAGGGACAAGGATTGTACGAATGGAACATGGCACTAGAAGTATTCCATAAGTGATTCACCACTTTTGGTGGTGGAAGAACATAGTGGAGTACTGATAGAAGGGGACATTAAATTTAAAATAGTCACTAATTTGTAATTCTTTTTAAAGTTTGATCACTATTCAGTTTTTTCTCAATTATTTTTCATTTTGATCACCAAAATCGTATTTTCTCAATCTTTAATTCTCAAAACATTTATAGAACACTTTTTGGGCATTTGCAAGTGGAAGTAGAAGTGGTGGTGGATGACAAGGGACAAGGATTGTACGAATGGAACATGGCACTAGAAGTATTCCATAAGTGATTCACCACTTTTGGTGGTGGAAGAACATAGTGGAGTACTGATAGAAGGGGACATTAAATTTAAAGTAGTCACTAATTTGTAATTCTTTTTAAAGTTTGATCACTATTCAGTTTTTTCTCAATTATTTTTCATTTTGATCACCAAAATCGTATTTTCTCAATCTTTAATTCTCAAAACATTTATAGAACACTTTTTGGGCATTTGCAAGTGGAAGTAGAAGTGGTGGTGGATGACAAGGGACAAGGATTGTACGAATGGAACATGGCACTAGAAGTATTCCATAAGTGATTCACCACTTTTGGTGGTGGAAGAACATAGTGGAGTACTGATAGAAGGGGACATTAAATTTAAAATAGTCACTAATTTGTAATTCTTTTTAAAGTTTGATCACTATTCAGTTTTTTCTCAATTATTTTTCATTTTGATCACCAAAATCGTATTTTCTCAATCTTTAATTCTCAAAACATTTCATACTCCAGATTTAATTATCTCTTTTCATATGCTACACAAATTTCTTTCAACTATTCTCTCTTATCAAATGATCAAAATCTCTAAATTCCCTTATTGGAGTGTTCATACACATAGCTATACTCTTCTCAAAATTCTTTCAATTTTTAAAATATTATTCCATATGCTATTATTTACTTTGATTGTTTCGACTCAAATATCACAATTGATATATAGTATATTTTAAAATTATTGTGTGTGGTTTTTTGGGTAAGTATTTATAAATTATTTTGTTGTTTTAGTAATAATATA